CACAATTGGAATCGTTTAATCATATACAGAGCCTTTTTTGAGGGTTTAATAAAACTACTTGTTTCTTGAATAGAATTTGGCACGGATGAAAAGGCATCATCATTCACGGCTCATTTTAACGGTGTACAGCTCGAACCAGATAACAACATTCCAACTGATACGAAAGCAAAAACTCCAATTATATTTCGAAAAATTCAAGCTAGTACAGGATCTTCAACTAAGCCACCAGCTGATCCATCACAAATTACTTTCACTTTGAAAGATGATCAACATTCTGCATCAACTATAGAAAACACTGCATTGAAGTTCGCCAAAGAGCAAGCTATTGTTCAATCTTGTGTAAACAAACAATGTGTATTATCCATGAAAGATCTAACACAAGCTGGTGAGTTAATATACACAAAAGACAATCAGAGAACTATTGTTGATAAACTTTTGGCCAAATTCGAGGGGAATGATAAACAATTTTCAACTCTGATGAAACATTGTCTGATACCTATGATGTACTTCTTGAAGCGTGAATTCAATCTACTTGATTTCATCAATTTGATCAAACAACGCCTGAGAAAATGCCAAGATATTCCACGACTTAGTCAGCGCATGCTCGTGGATATTCTGTTGAAGAATTCTGACGGTTTTATCGCTCAAACGCTCCTTAAACTACTATCGAAACGAAACCCTGTACCTTTGATGGAAGCAGACGGCGAAAAGCGAACATTTGTATCAAACATTGTTCATGTATGGGATTATGATAAACCTACTATTCTTTCCTTTGGCATAGGTCCCTGCCGGGGCAAGTCTTCACTGATCAATAAGCTCTTTCTTTCGAATTTTGAAGAGACAGTGTCAAGTAGTTATTTTCAACAAACGATCGATATTGATTTTGGCTATAAATGCATTCCACGACGACCCATGAACATTGCTGATGCTCATGGGCCAATATCGACCAAATTACTCAGCGAAGTGAACAAACTATTCGATGGATTTCTCATTCACGTTGATGCAAAATTTTTGTTGCCGAACCTGTTCTTAGTCAAAGAATACTTAACTTGTCTTCCAATCAATACATACAAGTGTCTTTTGATACGAGACTCAACTGAAGATGAAGACAAGATACAGTTAGGTCAACTATCTGTCAATGAAATACATTTCGTGCCCAATATGAATCAGGTAGATGAAGTTGAAAAAAAAGATTTTGTCGACACTCTTCTTCAAGTTCTCTATTCCCAAAGCAATTTTACTAAACAACAACCGATCAGAAATAATCTCGAGGCAAATCTTTGCAGCCTTCTCTCTATTGAACAGCGTAAATTATATGATGAAGAAAAGCATTTCATTGAATCAATTAAACACACACTAATCAATGGTAACAAGGAAAACTTCCCACTGTATGACATATTAGTTGAAACATGTGAAAAGCGTTCCAAGCTATCACAAATCGACTTCTATGGTTCAACAGATAACGAAGAAATGTTTCATATACAAGTAGCTATCGCTCGGTTAGAAGCAAAGCTGAAGCCTAATTCTAATAATCTTTTGGAATGTGGAAATGCATTTCATGACTTCTTCAATCTTCTACAGAAGCCATGGAGAAATGAGTATCTTACCATTATTACATCAGTTCTAAAGCAAAATATTGATGCGACAATTAGCGCTTCTGATAAAGCAGTTGATCTGCCGTACGAAAAACGACTCACTATGGAAATTCATTGGAGAAATGCAATTGTATGCTATGAACACATGAAGAACTCTGACGATCAAGAAACACTTATTACTCATTATCGACATATGATTGATAATGGGCAACCTTTTGAAATTATCGATGGTGATAACTTTCATTATCAATCCAGTTTCCTCGAGAAAGTTATGATTCACATGAAAGGCAAGAAACTCTTCGTTATGAGTATTGTAGGGCCTCAGAATAAAGGCAAAAGTACATTATTAAATTATATGTTTGGCACTCTTTTTGATGTACGAGATGGACGCTGTACACGTGGTATGTTCATTTTGTTTACATCTCTTTCATAAAACCATTCGATCTACCTTAGACAGATTCTCTGCTATAGGCAACAATTTGTAGAACTACGTTTTGAAGATGATTTCGAAATCTTTAATACTTAAACGCGTATCGTTAAAGCTTGACAAACAATAAAGTATCGATTCTAAATGATTTTCCCGAATCTATGCTATTATTTTCAAGAGTATTTGTGAATATCGAAGTTTTCCAAAAAGACTCGTTAGATGAATCTCCATGGGGATCAGAGCTGTTCATTAGGAGTTTTCATGAATTTCTTTGGCAGTTGAGCTTGTAGCTCAAGAGTTCTTACCTTCGTGGGTACTAAATTCCAGTAAGCCGATACCTAGTTTAGATATATTGTAGCTCAAAAACAATACGGCAACGAACATTTTTCACAAAGCTACTACTTTCGTCCTTGCCTGAAATTCTATGTTCAAGATTTCACTTTCCTTCAAGTTTTTCTATCAATAATCAACCTTTGAAAACATTTAAAATGCTGATTATAATAATAGAATCTAATAAGTCTTCATCTTAATCAAATTCTGTTTACCTACTAACACTCCAAAGAGTTATTCTAGTTATTTAAGTATCCGATGGTTTCAAACATTTCGTTCATATCTAATGTGATCTACGAATCTGAAGACGAAGAGTAGCCTCAGAATTTTATCTCATCGCATAGAAAATGTGGTTTATTTCATGAGTGTACATGAGATTTACGGAATTTCTAATAAATGATTAGCTGTTGTCTGAATGGAAATGAGATATTCGAGCGTTCTAAGTAAATTGTCTCTATTAGAATGTAACTGTTTTGAAGAGGACGAGATACTTATTTGTTAAATTCTACTCTACTGCTAACAATCAAACTACATACAAATATATTTTGTTCGCTATTCAAATAGGTGCGTATGGATCTATAATCAAGTCAAATCGACCTGAGTTCGATTACATCATGTTAATTGACACAGAAGGTTTATTTTCGTCGGAAAAAGGTGACGAAGAATATGATCGACGCTTAATACTTTTCTGTTTGGCTATGTCACATCTTGTGATTATCAATGTTGCAGGAGAAATAGATATGAACTTGAAAAAAATGCTTATTCTATGTACAGATTCATTTCAAAAAATGGGAGTGAGCAAAATTGCTCGTCCATCCGTGCATGTTATTTTAAATCGGAGAGACAATGTGAACGTCGAAGACAATAGTAATGTTATTCAAATAATCAAAAAAGATTTGAACAGTGATAGTCTAGATCAACAGATCGAACTCAACGAAAACACATTTCATGCACTTCCGCAAGCATTTAAGAAAATATCACTTGGAGATACCATAAACATGCCTTCGCTTTTACAAACGGATCCAACATTTATCAATATGACACAAGATTTATGCGAAAAGCTTATCGAAGCTGGTATCAAAACGTCGAAAGAACATAACAAAGAGCTTTTTGATCCTATTCAGTGGCTAAGTATGGCTGATACGGTACTAGACATACTCCGCAAATTTCCCGACATGACATATTTCAATGACATTCATGAACGTAAACAATACGATTCGATACGAGAATGGATTCGCGATGAGCTCAAAAAAACATTTACAGGAGACTTACGGAAGAAATTACTTGCACGTGCCTTGAAAGAAGACGAAATAGGGATAAAAAGTATCTTTACCAATGAATTTGCTCGATTGAAACTATCACTCATGAATGAATTGGAGAAGAAATTAACCAACGAAAAGGCAACAAAAGATGTTCGAAAACGTTGCAAAACATTTTTGGAAGTTCAAATAGATAGTCTTCAATGTTGCTGGACTGACTCGGCTTTGATGGATAAAGAGAGTAATGAATTGAAAAAGCTGATAGAAACAGGTGAAAACCAATTGAACAAAACTATTCGTGATACAATCGAAGCAGTTCTGGGAAATCAATGTGACAAACTTCAGCAGCTGGTACCCAACGTCGATCAGCAGTTTCTCAATGATCTAAAAGGAGAAAATCGTAGACGAGTCCAAGCGATTGCACAAAATGCCGGAGATATATTCGATAAAATCTGGAACAATGCATATCCTCGTTTGACAGCAGGGTTCAATCATGACACTCAATGTAAGTCAGCTTTAAAGTTTGTCTATGGTAGCTACAATATTTTTGAGAAATCGAATCTACCAGATTTCACGAGTGTCATGCCATTTCTTACCATTATAACGCACGATATAGATGAACAATCTAAGGATGCATCCAACGCCTCCGAGTCTGAATCGAGCCCGAATAATGAAAAAATCTTCGACGAAATACAAAAGGCATGTATTCACATCATGTCGAAGTATCCTCTGCTTGAAGAACATCAATTCCAAAATCGTACAGTTTCTACATATACTAGAGACACAATTGAAACCTTCAAATATTTGAACGTTCACACACTTTTCGACAAATATGATAGATATCATTCGAAAGGCACGACCGATAGATGGTCGCCCGATTTTCATTTACATTTAAAACGCTGTATTGTCGAATGTGATTTGACATCGGAGCACTTCTTATCCTCAACGGGAACCTGCAGAACATTTTGGAATATTAAAAAAAGTTTTGATGAATTACTCGATGACATACGGGGTAAGATAATCTTGAGTGGAGATGATAGTCGAGTCGTGGATATTGAACTTGTGCAAGAGTTGGTCGGTGTGGTTCTGACTCATATTGATAAAATTGACAGTGAACTGGAGACTTTCAATTTAAGTGCTTCCAAACATTATCTGGGGGCGATTCATACCTATAGTGTTCTCATTTTGACCAAATTTTACTATGACGAACAGTGGCACTCCTTCGAACAACTACTTCAGAAAGTGCAACAAAAAAAGGATGATTTACGTGCTTATTTTATTGCTATGGTAACACAAGATCAACAAAGCGATCCAAGATTTGCTGCAGTACTTGCAAATAGTATTTTTACTGCTGTGAGTCAATATTGTGAAACTGAAGGAGCTAAGAAGATTCATGATCGTACAGCAGTTAAGTCAGCATTTACTCAACCATCACTTCTTAAAAAGAT